TCAAATGTTCCTTTGTGTTGAGGCGTTAACCGTTGGAAGTAAGATCCTTTTCTAATAAAGATCCACATAATTTAAAGGTATTTTTCCTTGATTTAAGGTGCTGAGATTTCACAATATAAATGTGGTCTCTTTCTGTATATCTTGTTCCCAAACAGTTAGCTATGGCTTTGAGTTTATAACTGGTTGCACATCTAACCTGCATTATGTACCATTTCCCTCCAGTAAATGGATTTTGTAATAGCGGGGGACATTTTTGATTGGATCCTAGTTTCAGTTATTTGTTTTACATACACAAGTTTGCCTTCTGAAGTTTTCAGATTGTGTTAAGTTTCCATTGAATGATAAACTTGTACAGTAGAAAACCACTTGCCATCACCAGGTTCATCATATATTGACTAATATTTGTTTTGAATCGAAATGGTGTTCGACGGACGTATGCAATCATATTGTGCCTTGGTTAAAAAAAATAATGCCCTTTCTTTACTGGTATTTCTATAGCATGGCAAACTTATGAGTTACCTTGTCTTGTTGAAACGCTATAAGAATTGTCACGGTTGTAGAAATGTAGAAATGAACAAGATTTATGTTTTTACAACGGTCAATAACAATAATTAATGTACAGAAACTCTTGTTATGTTGCATTAGATGAAACTAGTTTTAACCTATATTGTCAAAACGGATTTAGGATTGAAATCACACAGTTTTTTAGTTTAAAATATCAGCTGAGTATAATGGTTAAGTAACAGATTGTAATATACATATGAAGAAATATAAGGGGATGGGGGCTTACATATGGGTATCCATCTTATTCCAGGGATCTATACCAAAGTGGAGAGGGGCTTAATTACTTGCGGTGATATATTGTAAGAGGTTTAACATTTGTGTGTCAATAACTGTTCATAATAATCTACAGTTTAGAAAAAGTCTGTCTTCTGAACTGTTCTTATCTGTATATTTGACCATTATTGTGTTGTATTGAATAGTACAAAATTAATAAGTTCTAGGCTTGTTTAAGCTCGGTCACAAAACAAGGCTAGATCTAGTTCAAATTGTGAAGAAATGAAAGGATGATGAAAAAGTTGATAATTTAAATAAAATGTTCTGCGATAAATACAGGGTAACTAAATACATTTTGTTCGTGCCACATCCATTAATTTGTTCATTGAAATATTGTTAATGGGTATTACCTGGATGGGGATGTCCACCTCTAGGTAGGAGTAATGATGCCGGCTTTAATTCAATTATTTAAAGTGCAACAGGGTAATTATTTTGAGGAAAAAGGTAGTTGATACCCTAATTGTACCCGTTGAATCACCTTACGTCTCCTTTGCAGAGTGCCTTATATTGCACGATGCCTGATCAAAGGTTTTGGTTGCATGCGTTTGTAGTGAAATTGACCTCATCAATGACGTGATTTTTTATTACCCAATGAAAAAGAAGCAAATGCATCCCGTCCGTAGCCCTGCTTTGTTGTCCAGTGAACTAGAGACTCTGGTAAAACCTAGTGTTACCGTTTTGTGACATCATAACGAGACTCCTCAGGATTCTGGTAAATGATTTCATTGGTCAAAAATAGACACACCTTTTTTCTGAAGTCAGAATTTGAGTGGCGCAAAATTGCATTGAATATTTTAATTTATGAAAAAAAATTCCTGTACAAGCATTTCTGAAGCATCCGTGTTTTCACTATTATCGAGAAAAAAGTAAGAAAATGCTTCAAATCTCAATAATGATTGCATGTAGTCTATTTTCATTTGATATTTTACAATGATACAAGTCAAGCCAGATTACCTAAGTGAGAACCTGTAGTGTTTTGAATGGTGTACAGGTAAACTCTCACTTGCTTTGCATGCTTTTTTCCAACCTCAGTCAGCCTTGTTGGCTTTGTGCTCAGTCACGATTTATTCAGTGGAAATATATGGCATTATTCTGGAGAAAAGACATTTTCTTAAATTTTTCTTGATAATAGTGAATACACGGATACTTTAGGAATGCATGTACAGGTAAGTTTTTTAATTAATTTCCTTATTCTTTGAAATGTTTTAACGGCGTTGACGTAACGTCCGGAAAGGAAAGTAAAAACACTGCCCTCTGGTGATGGTAATTCTAAAGTACTGTGCTTGACCAGACTCTTGAATTACAGTGAACCAGAAAAGGTAACCGGAAGTTGGAAAAGTTTCTCAGATGTTTTACACTTTACTGGTGAAGAGCTCCGCTAAGACATTTACATATTGTCAATCATCCATTAATTTTAATGTATGTAAAAATTCAAATAATACGGTCACTTCATGAATTGATATATTTTAAACATATACTAAATACAGAGAATACATATTAGAATAATATTAAAGAATATTGAATAAGGGTTTAGTTTTCGAACACCCGAGGCGTCCGAGCGAAGTTCTTAAAAAGTAACACATTAGTGTATAAGGAGTTACATCCTTTACTGTGTGTTGCCCTTTATTTATTTTTTTATCCGGAAGTGGTCATGTTTACATGCCATAGTGTTTCTACTCTCCGCTAAGCTACGCTTCGACAAAACAAAGTATCAAAGAGTGCAGCCTATCGGAGAGAAATGTTACTAAGGCAGGTAATCAAGAAACATTTTGACATTTCAAAATATTTTATTAAATCAATCAGATTTAATGGGAATTGGGCATCAGGCAAAGGCTATTCAAGCCCTCTCCCCGGAGGTACATCTCAAACAATAGCAATATAATGAACTATGAATGAACTTTAAGAAAAATTGACGTATACCCTCGTACCACAGTAAAACATTTTCAACACATATACTTACATACATGTATACTGAAAACAATTTTCATGATTTTTAATAATGTTTTATAAGGAGAAATTTTAAAACAAAAGATAAAAGCAGAAATTTGGTTTCCATAATCCTAAGGCGCGAAAGTGAGTTTATCATGTGTTGCTAGGGGAACGTTGTGTATTTGTTCTGTCTTTCATAATTGAACACCCTTTTCTCTCCTAGAAACTGTGTCTGTGAAACCACGATGGCAAATATCCCTGAAAATAGTTCATCATTTCATAAACAGCATGAACAGATGTCCTTAAAATAGTCCGCCATATCTCGTCACTTAATAGGCCTTTATCCAAACGACACTCACAGATTTCCAGAAAATAGTCTTTCATCGATAGATTTTCTTGAAACAGTCTGTAACAAATCTTGTTAGCAATATAATCAAACCTTTTACACAATCTCCAGGTGATAATATTTTACAAATAACTTGTCTATAAATGTCTATGGAATGTCTTGAAACATACGAAACTGTCACCATTATGCTTGATTTTAGCCAATGCTAATATTTTAGGACTATGGACCACCACACGTGACCTACTGTTGATTGTTATTACGTCAAACGGGTGTCTCCTCCATGTTAATGTCCGGCTGACGCTCCTTGTTAGTGGCTGACTGACGCTCCATGTTAGTGGCTGACTGACGCTCCGTGTTAATGTCCGGCTTACGCTCCTTGTTAGTGGCTGACTGACGCTCCATGTTAGTGACTGACTGACGCTCCATGTTAGTGGCCGACTGACGCTCCGTGTTAATGTCCGGCTTACGCTCCTTGTTAGTGGCTGGCTGACGCTCCATGTTAGTGGCTGACTGACGCTACATGTTAGTGGCCGACTGACGCTCCATGTTAGAGGCCGACTGACCCTCCATGTTAGTGGCCGACTGACGCTACATGTTAGTGGCCGGCTGACGCTCCATGTTAGTGGCCGACTGACGCTACAGGTTAGTGGCCGACTGACGCTCCATGTTAGTGGTGGACCACCACACGTGACCTACTGTTGATTGTTATTACGTCAAACGGGTGTCTCCTCCATGTTAATGTCCGGCTGACGCTCCTTGTTAGTGGCTGACTGACGCTCCATGTTAGCGGCTGACTGACGCTCCGTGTTAATGTCCGGCTTACGCTCCTTGTTAGTGGCTGGCTGACGCTCCATGTTAGTGGCTGACTGACGCTACATGTTAGTGGCCGACTGACCCTCCATGTTAGTGGCCGACTGACGCTCCATGTTAGCGGCCGACTGACGCTCCATGTTAGTGGCCGACTTACGCTCCATGTTAGTGACCGACTGACGCTCCATGTTAGTGGCTGACTGACGCTCCATGTTAGTGGCCGACTGACGCTACATGTTAGTGGCTGACTGACGCTCCATGTTAGTGACTGACTGACGCTCCATGTTAGGGGCCGACTGACGCTCCATGTTAGAGGCCGTTATCACTAATATCTCTTTACTCTGTAAAAAACCGGCAGATTGGTATCAAATTGAGATAGTGACCGACTGACGCTCCATGTTAGTGGCCGACTGCCGCTCCATGTTAGTGGCCGACTGACGCTCCATTTTAGTGGCCGACTGACGCTCCATGTTAGTGGCTGACTGACGCTACATGTTAGTGGCCGACTGACGCTCCATGTTAGAGGCCGACTGACCCTCCATGTTAGTGGCCGACTGACGCTCCATGTTAGAGGCCGACTGACCCTCCATGTTAGTGGCCGACTGACGCTACATGTTAGTGGACGACTGACGCTACATGTTAGTGGCCGACTGACGCTCCATGTTAGGGGCCGACTGACGCTCCATGTTAGAGGCCGTTATCACTAATATCTCTTTACTCTGTAAAAAACCGGCAGATTGGTATCAAATTGAGATAGTGACCGACTGACGCTCCATGTTAGTGGCCGCCTGACGCTCCATGTTAGTGGCCGACTGACGCTACATGTTTGTGGCCGACTGACGCTCCATGTTATTGGCCGACTGACGCTCCATGTTAGTGGCCGACGCTCCATGTTAGTGGCCGACTGACGCTCCGTGTTAATGTCCGGCTTACGCTCCTTGTTAGTGGCTGGCTGACGCTCCATGTTAGTGGCTGACTGACGCTACATGTTAGTGGCCGACTGACGCTACATGTTAGTGGCAGACTGACGCTCCATGTTAGTGGCCGACTGACCCTCCATGTTAGTGGCCGACTGACGCTACATGTTAGTGGCCGGCTGACGCTCCATGTTAGAGGCCGACTGACGCTCCATGTTAGTGGCCGACTGACGCTCCATGTTAGAGGCCGTTATCACTAATATCTCTTTACTCTGTAAAAAACCGGCAGATTGGTATCAAATTGAGAAATTGGAATTAAAATTTTGAATTTTATTTTAACATATTTTATTTGTCAACAAAAATGGTCAGGTACAAGTAATATGTATTAAGAGACGCATTCTTCAATACATTTCATCGTACGAATTATATGACAGTAAAAAAACACATTTATCAAACATATCTATATGAACGATGAGGACAGGGAAGGAAGAAAGTGTTCATTTCTAGAGACAACTTTATTTTTATGTGTTTATTCTACTGTAATATTTTACTTTCGACTTAGTCTATATTAAACCACAATTTACCAAAAGCAAACTGAATGGTAAAAGGTTAAATTCTGCATACAAAAGTATACAGTAAATGGTCAGATATTATCATTAAACAAGTATTATGAAATTTCCAAACTTATGGCATAGACATTTTTCACGCAGATATTATGAAAATCTTTGACAAATTCATTGCACATAACAAAGTGTTCATATCAAGAAGATTATAATATAAGGATGTTAAATTACCATAAACTAAAATTGACTTACGCGCTGTCTCTTTCTCCATATCGCCGTCAGTGTGTACAAAAACGGGTTGACAGCCGCGTTAACAGGCAGCACGAACACCATCACCCAGGCGTACGCTTGATCCGGAATCTGGATTCCACATTTAGACAGCACGCCTGGAAAGAAATACGTGACTGTTGTTGAATTTTCTCAATTCGAACGTAAATGAATCATAATTGTGTTAGTTGATGACTTTATCTACGAATATGAACGTTAGACACAAACTTAATTACATATATGAAATCAGGTAAAAGATAGTGTATGCCAAAATGAATTACACCACACCATACAACTGCATTGACCTTTTAGGACTTCTCTTATGCTAGGGGCAAAACATGTGGATTCCAATTTTTTTCTGAACTACTGTTGAAACAGAAGGGGAGGTTGGTAAACAATTACAAGAATTTAAAATGCGACATACGGGATCATTTCAAATTAACAATGGGTAAACGTGCATATCAGAACAGTGCAACTACTCCCAAGAGATAGTTGTGGTGTCGCTTTCAATTGTTACAACAATTCTCTTGAGATAAAAAAAAAAAAAAAAATCACAAACAGAGTCTACAACCTCGTATCTTGAAATATGAACGAAGGACATACACGTAATCGCACCTACCCACCAATTGCCATTTATATAGAGTGAATGAGCTGAAACTTACCCATGACTCCTATAGGACACCAGCAGCAAAGGTCGGTCACCACAACCAGGAAGAGGGTCCTTGCTACAGTCATCTCTCGTTGACGAGTCTGTGATGATGTTATACGACTGCCACGTGTCCTCATGCTTTTGAAAATGCAACTTTGCCCTATGACTATGACAACAAAGACCAAGCTGTTTAGACAAACAAACACTGCAAATGAATATTCCGCTCCTGGTTGGGCATTATTTGTCAGTGGTAGGGCGAGGCACACCCCGGACTGAGAGTAGTATGCTCCTTTGAAATAGAACTGCATAGCAACAACGGGAATGATTGCAATTGTGGCGGAAACGATCCACAAGAACACTGTCACAACAGTAGCTTGTTCCCACGAGATGTTCCACCGGGAAAGGAGGGACATTGGAAACACTATGACAATAACCCTGTCTATTGTTACCATTAAAATAAGGAACGTCGACATCTCACTAGATATACTAGACAAAATTCCAGCTGTGGCGCATACGAAACTTGTTCTCCATTTCTCTTCATTCCACGCATACACGTTGCTGTAATATTCATCAACGACTCCTATTATCAGCAGGTACACTCCCATGAGAAAATCAGATATAGCCAAATTTAACACAAAAAGTGAATAACTCTTTGTAATGTTTTCTTTATCAATGAAAATTCGGTAGAAAATGACGACCAAGTTACCGATTAAAGCGCACACACCAATGACCCATAGACATGCTCTGAGTACACCTGAACTTATCAAATCATGACAGGAAGAAATCGCATCACTTTGTGACTGACATGTCGCATCACCATTTAAGCATTCCAGATCTTTAACTGGTTTTCCCAAACATTTATTGTTGTCAACAGATTTAGGTTTGACGCAACACATGAAGGGAGTATCAGTCAACAAAGTGTCCAGATGATCTAAACCTTTGAAAATATACTCCGTAACTTCCAGTGTGTTACCAACAATATTCAGATGAGACAGTTTACTATTATTGACAAAAGTTCCAGCAGGTAACCATGTCAAACGATTGTTTGATAAGTCTAGAGATGTCAGATTAAAAGGCAACTTAGGAAGATGAGAAAACTCGTTGTTGCCAAGAAGAAGATACACTACAGAGAGCCCACTGAAAACATTCATTGGAAGGACGGATATACAGTTATTGGACAGTCTGAGATGACGGAGTGACTGTAGTCCAAAGAACACTTTATCAGGAAGAGCCCGAATCCGATTATTGTGCAAGGAGAGGTTTATAAGCTTAGTCAATCCATGAAACACAGTTTGTTGGAGCACAGCTATCCTATTGTAAGATAAATCAAGTGTTTTAAGTACAGGGTGTTCACGAAACACATCGCTGGCTGGTTTTATAATTTTACTGTTAGTATTTTCAGGGGGGAATTTTATTTTGTTATTAGACAGAAAAAGTCCTTCAAGCTGAGGCAGATTTCCGAACACGGTATTGGGAAGAATTCCTATTTTATTGTTTGACAGAACTAATTTGGTAAGTTCAAACAGTCCTCTGAACACAGTATTTGGGAAACGTTTGATTTTATTATTAGCCAGAAGCAGTTCAGAAAGCTCAGGCAATGTATTGAACACATTGACTGGGAGGGATGCTATTCTGTTATTGGTCAGGTCCAGTTTAGTAAGTTTTGGCATCCTACTGAACGCATTATGGAGATGATTTATCTTGTTGGCAGACAGATCCAGTACAATAAGTTTGGACAGCCCAGTGATCTGTTTAGGTAGACGTCTGATTATATTTTTAGATAAGATAAGTTCGGTAAGATTTGACATTTCACCTAAAGCAGTATCGTGTAGGAGTTTTATTTTATTGCCAGACAAAACGAGTTTTTTAAGTTCATACAGTTCTCTTAACACAGAAGAGGGCAGATGCCTTATCCGATTGTTGGACAGATTCAGTTCAGTAAGTTTCGATAGTTCACCAAACAAATTTTCTGGAAGTTTCGCAATCTGATTGGTGTGGAGAGAGAGATGGGTAAGTCTAAACAGTCCACTAAACACGTTATTGGGTATATCTTTTATCTTATTGTTAGACATACCCAGTTCTGTAAGTTCAGAAAGGCTACTGAACAGGAAAGCGGGGATAACCTTAATCTGATTAGAGTTTAGTTGAAGGTGCGTAAGTACAGACAGTTCATTAAACACATCATTTGGGAGACCCGTTATCTCATTGTTTGACAGATCAAGTTTAGTAAGTAACGGCAGTCCATTAAAAACATTATTTGTGAGAATTGCTATCTTATTGTTTGACAGAAGTAGTTCAGTAATGTTCGAGAGTCCGCGGAACACAGTGTCAGGAAAAGGTCTGACTGTGTTACCAGGTAGGTCCTGGTCAGTAAGATTAGACGGTCTACTTAGCTCAGTATTGGACAGAAATGAAATCAGATTGTTAGACAGGTTCAGTTTGGAAAGCTTTGATAGTCTACTAAACACAGCATCAGGTAGAAAACGTATATTATTGTTAGGAAGATCCAGTTCGGTAAGTTCAAACAGTTCACTAAACACGTGATCAGGGAGAACTTCAATCTGATTGGTAGCCAGGTATAGGTGGGCAAGTTCAGGCAATCCACTAAATACTGTTTCAGTGAGAACTCTTATCTTATTGGCAGATAAATCTAGTTTGGTAAGTATTAACAGTTCACTGAAAATATTTCTGGGAAGAGTTTCTATCCTATTGTTAGACAGATCCAGTCTTGCGAGTTCAGACAATTCCTGGAAAACATGATCAGGTAGAAGTCTTATTTTATTGTTTGAAAGGTCGAGTTCGGAAATATCAGATAGTCCAGTAAACATGTGATCAGGAAGACGTTTTATATTATTGTTGGAAAGAACGAGTTTTGTCAAATCATACAACCCAGAAAACACATTAACGTGGAGAACAGCAATGCTATTTTTGTGCAGATAGAGCTGGCTAAGTCCGGACAGTCTACTAAATACAGTCTCTGGCAGATGTCTTATCTGGTTGTTAGATAAAGTCAAATCGGTAAGTTCAGCAAGTTTATGAAACACCGTCTCTGGAAGACGTCTGATCTGATTATTAGACAAAACCAAGTTGGTGAGTTCAGTAAGTTCATTAAAGACAGTATTAGGAAGACGTGTTATCTTATTGTTAGACAAAGTCAAGTCGGTAAGTTCAAAAAGTCCATGAAACACAGTCTTGTGGAGGCTCGTTATCTGGTTATAAGACAGACCAAGTTTATTGAGTGAAGAAAGTTTAACAAACACGGTCTTCGGGAGACTTCTTATTGAATTATTGGACAGGTTTAGTTCCATAAGTTTAGACAGTCCATTGAACAAAGAATTTGGCAGACGTTTTATTTGATTGTTTGATAGAACTAGTTTCTCTAGGTTGAACAGTTTATTGAACACATTATCATGGAGAAACACAATGTTATTGGAGCTCAGAGAGACATGTTTAAGTAGAGGCAACCCACTGAAAAGTAATTCCGGTAAAACTGCTATCTGATTCAAGGAGAGATCAAGAAATGTAAGGCAAGACAGTGGGCGGAAAACATTCCTATGGAGAATCGTTATCTGATTGTCGGATAGATCGAGTCTTGATAGAGCAGATAGTCCATTGAAAACTTCCTCTGGTAAAGACGATATATTATTATTAGATGTATCCAGTGATTTCAGGTTATGTAACCCATTAAAGAAATTATCGGACATATTGGCCATATTAAGCACAACCAGAGAATTAAGATCCGAAGTGTTCAAAAATTCTGACAATTGTGATCCATTTTTGTTGACACCAATGGAGAAGATGCTCTTGAAAAAGAAACTTGAAGTTGCAAGAGCAGTTTCAGCAAAGGTGACTGTTAAACCACTACACATGCAAAATGTGTGGCACATATCGCCACAAACAGACTCGTCGTCAGATTCAGGGCACTGGTCTGTTCCGTCACAAATCTCGTCTATCGGAATGGTTTGTTCATCAGTTGATAAGCAGTGGTTTATCCCAGTGCAATTGTAAAGGTCTGAAACAGAAAAGAAGAATACAAGCTATTGATACGAAATTGGTGGTGGAAGTAGTAATAGTCGTCTAGTGGAAGTGTTGGTGGTAGTATTAGTAATAAGGCATAACAATTGATACAAATCCCCTCGCATTCACACATTGTGACACATGTAAAAGGAAATGAAGTCGCTAGAGCGATGACAAAGTTTTTTTTCTAAAAAAAAAGTAAAAGTGACCTCGACCTTAAACGCAGTCATCTGAAATGCGAACTTGTTTAAGATATTGCCATACCAAACACTTATTTATGGAGTTTCATGAAATTCTGTTGAGGAATGAAGTCGGTAGAGCGATGACAAAGTGTATCTGAAAATAGTAACAGTGACCTTAACCTTCAACTTAGAAACCCAAAACAAGATCTTGTTCAAGGTATTGTCATACTAGCACTGGTATAAAGTTTCATGAAATTCCGCTGAGGAATGAAGTCGATAGAGCGATGACAAAGTTTTTCTAAAGATAGTAAAATGGCCTTGACCTTTCACGCAGTAACCTGAAACGCGAAATTCAAAATATTGTTATACCAAACACTTGAAGTTTTATGTAATTCAGTTCAAAAATAGTAACAGTGACCTTGACCTTCAACGTAGAAACCCGAAACGCGAGCCTGTTAAAGGTATTGTCATACTACACACTCGTATAAAACTTCATGGAATCGATTTATTTACACAAAATTGTTTCGGTCAAAAAAAATCAATTTTATTTAGATAAAAACTTCACATGTATTTACTATGGGGATGGATGTGGAACATTTCTAATTAAAAGAACAACATTTAATGCATACTCATTATAAGATTTTCTTGCATTTCAGAGGGTGAACGTAAACATGTTAGCATATATTCTTTATAATCAATACTAACCGCATCCAACGTCTGCTTCTTGTCCTTGACAGTGAACATCACACCTGTAGGTCAAAGGTTGACAGAAGGTTTCTTGGCATTTATGCTCTTCTTCAAGGTGATGTCTTTCTGATGGATCAGATGCAAAGACCGCATCAGCATGGGTATTCAAGCTAAATCATTACTATTGTTAGATCATATCGGTATACAAAATTAGTTATTGCATCTTAATGGAGCTAGGTAACACATTGCAGTTTGTTGTGCCAATTGTATTTTAAGGCAAAGAGTACCAACCCGTTAAACTATACTTTTACCGCTGTCACTATTGTGAAATCGTTTTCAAAAGAAACGTTACATATCAAATCACACATGTGCAATGCATCATACAGAATTATGGTTCTTCGAAATTTCAAAGTTTGAAAATAGAAAAAAAAAATATTGGAAAGAAATGAACGAAAGAAAACTAAAAAAAATGGAAGGGTAGAACTCGGGAGCTTTACTTTCCAAAGTCTTCAATGGTATACGGCCATGTCATAAATATGGTATTACTGTATTACACACGGGTAATAAAACCTGAAGGTGCTGCGATTGGTCAAAGCCGTACGTCACTACAGCGGTACTACTTTTACTATACTCCATGGTATATTTATTGTTATTCAAATGAATGTGAAATGTTTATTTTGTCATTATTATTTTCATTGGATTTAAAACGATTTATTATTAGAACAAAAATCTGGAACTACTTTGCACCTCGCGGAACGACAATACAATGATCGGAGTGCTTTGGTTTTTAACTATATGTAGTCATCTGATAACCCATAATTGTGTTTGAAGTGTTTGTTCCAAATTATGAATGATATGTGAAAAATAGAATCTAAAATGTAACGGTAAATTATTGAACGAGTTTAATAAATTCAATATGAAATATACAATCATGTAAGATCCTCTGTGTATAATTACTGTATAATTTATCCATGAGTTATGAACGCACGGCAAAAATAAAAACATAAATCCAATTTTTAAACCGCAAATTCTATAAGAGAAATACCATTGTAAGAACCAAGCTTTGAAAGGGGAAGTTACTCTAAGCCAAAAAATCTACTCCTTTCAGTTGCTTCATCATCTACAGTAGAAAGGAAAATACTCAAAGTAAATAAGTTTCAACATCTTTGTCTAAACTGCGGCGAGACAGGATTTTTTTTATTTAGATTCAATAAAAAAAGTATGGTCAGTGCATTTACTATATATCCATTGGCATTATATAAAACATTCTTTTGTCTTGTTGCATATATATCACGGTGCAACAAGGTGTTATGTTTATGCTATTGTATCACTTCAGGATACCTTATGTTGATCGCCTGATGCTTGATCAATTATTCTGCATTTCCATTTCCGAAATCTCAACTTAATATATATTTAACATCTATGTGTTTGGCCCTTTTGTTTAACAAAGAAATCCATTCGCACAACTTTCTCGGGGTCGGGGGGTCAAGACATTCAATTTTGGTAAATATGTCAAACTACAATGAAAGGATAAGTCGCTTTCATCTTCTCCTTCGAGCGTAATTTTTCCGGATTTTGACTCAGATTTTTACCTTTGTTTACATTTCTACTAAACTAGTACATACTATACCTACCAAAGCATATGCAAGTCAATGTTTCGATAAACTTTCCAGTTGGCGTATGAATATGTCAGAAAGGAGTTCGTGAAGTAGTATGATTTATAGATTATGTTCAATCAATTTTGTCAGAAGTTTAATATTTAATAAACATGTATGTGTTTGTTATGTTAAATTTACATTGTTATCAAAACAAAACAGCTATTTATCTTACCAAGATGACGTCACACAATGAGTGATGACGTCACATGCGTTGGCACCTTCCGTTGCATAGAGTTGCACTATTCCAATATTTAAGAAATTATTAAAAAAACATTTATCATAATCGCATTGAATGCAAATATAGGGGTTTGAAGCATGTTATATTAGGTTTTATGGGATATAGACTTTAATGGGTCTTGAGACAAATTAAATTAACTGCGAGGTCTCAGGAATAAGCATGGAAAAAGTATTACTACATTGTGAATTGAACTCAATCGTTGATAGAGTCTCAAAGTTTTAATTGTCATACTTATTATGCAAGCATTTTCAATTCTGATTTATATTATATTTCTTTCCATAATTTCTCTTAGATCTTTTTTCAATAGTCAATGACTGGTCCAAAACACCACAAAATGTTCTTTTTATTGCATTTTCTTTTTCTTTTTTGATAAACAAAAAGTCTTGAAAAGGGTGCGTGTGGTATTTTTTTTATCTGATCTATATTCCTGTCCTAGAGTTAATACTATCAAAGAGATATTCTGTTTAATTTACATAAATAACATAGTGTAAAGTATGAAAATCAATTCTGATGTAAAAAGAATAAAAATACTCTATTTTCTCCTAGGTGTAGTGTACTTCTTTAATCGGTAAATAAACGAATGAATAAACTTGAATATGTTACATAAATTCCATCTCATATGCCCAAACATTAGGGAATATCTATCGTTGTATTGAAAAGGCTGTCTCGCTGCTCAATGATTCAGTCATTTGAACATTTGAATTTGTTTTCTCAATAAATAAGCATGTTTTTCAATTATTTAATTATTCATTTTTAACGACGACAAAAACAACAACAAAACAAAACAAACAAAACAAACCAACAAACACATATTTGATGAAAAAGCTCTGTAAGAAAAAATATCTAAGTACCTTCAACAGGTCTTGTAAATTTTAATAACACCCGAAGGAAAGCTCGAAAGTGGTTTCTATACAGAAGTTGTCTTTTTATAGAATCCTCAGAAGTTTTAACAGTTTTTTACAAGCTTTAGATAAACCTACCAATCATACCACTTAAGTATTTTCTTGTCCAGGAAAATTGTATGTTTAACAAGAGGCCCAATGGGCCTGAATCGCTCACCTGGTATTAATCTCACACTTGTAATCTTAAAAGTGGACTAAAATACAGCTACAGGCAGAATATCAGTGTTTGATTCCTAAGAACCTATTAAAGATTTAAACATATGACGCCTGTGACCTTGAATGTCGAACAAGGACATTAGGTTGAACAGAGTTTAAAGTCTTCCAACCCAGCATGCTTTTGGCAAAATATCATAACCCTGGACCTATTGGTTATATAGAACAAGTCATTTAAATATTTAAACATATATTGACCACTGTGACCTTGAATATAGGCGAAGGTCATTCATTTTGACACAATTTGTAGCCCTTCATCCCTGCCTGTTAATGACCAAATATCATCACCCTTGGCTTTTGGCTAATTTAGAAGAAGTTTTTTAAAGGTTTTAAACATATTTGACCCCAGTGACCTTGAATATAAGTAAAGATCATTCATTTAAAAAAACTTGGTTGCCCTTTATCCCAGCATGCTACTGGCCAAATATCATCATCCTAAGACTTTCGGTTATTGAGAAGAAGTTGTTTAAAGGTTTTTAACTTATTTGACCCCTGTGACCTTGAATATAAGTCAAAGTCATTAATTTGAACAAACTTGGTAAACCTTCATCCCACCATGCTACTGGCCAAATATCATCCTAAGCCTCTTGGTTATTCAGAAGAAGTACTTGTTTACAGGTTTTAAACATATTTGACCCCTGTGACCTTGAATATAAGTCAAAGTCATTAATTTGAACAAACTTGGTAAACCTTCATCCCACCATGCTACTGGCCAAATATCATCCTAAGCCTCTTGGTTATTCAGAAGAAGTGCTTGTTTACAGGTTTTAAACATATTTGACCCCTGTGCCCTTGAATATAAGTCAAGGTCATTCATTCGAACAAACTTGGTAGCCCTTTATCCCAGCATTCTACTGGCCAAATAGCATCATCCTAGGCCTTTTGGTTATTGAGAAGAAGTTGTTTAAAGTTTTTAACATAATTGACCCCTGTGGCCTTGAAAATAGGTGAAGGTCATTTACTTGAACAAACTTGGTAGCCCTTCATCCCAGCATGCTACTAGCCAACAATCATCACTCTGGGTATTTTGGTTATTCAGAAGAAGTTGTTTAAAGTTTTTAACATATTTGACCCCTGTGGCCTTGAAAATAGGTGAAGGTCATTTATTTGAACAAACTTGGTAGCCCTTCATCCTAGTTTGCTTCTGTCCAAATATCATCACCCTAGGCCTTTTGGTTATTAAGAAAAAGTTGTTTAAAATAAAATATGGACGCCGGACGACGGACGACGGAAGGACGGACGACGGACGCTGCACCATGGAATAAGCTCACCTGGCCCTCCAGACAAAGGATACAACTTAGAACATGCATGTTGTCAATCGGGAATCAAAACCTCATGACAAACAAGTATGTTTTTGTTACGTTGTTTCCTCTTCGATCATATATATTCTGTCACAATTTGTTCTTAAACAATCTGAATTACAAGATTGGCGTGTGATCGCATTTCGAAAATGCTTCTATAAAAGTTACAAGGTTTTGACTCCGGAAAGACAATGTATAAATATCTTACTTGCATGACATTCGATTTCTGTCTTTGAAATAGCTGCTCTCTCAAGACGTGTTCTGGAACCGTTCTTTTTCACACCATACTCTTGTGTCTTCTCTTGTTCACTTAACTTGTTAAAGACGTTCTGTGCATTTTCCATATTATCACTTGAACACACACCCTGTTGACAAACGCAAAAAATTCCGAACGAAATAGTCCAAAAGAATGATGGCTTTAACATGACTCTCATGAATATTATATAACCCTTGTTTGTGGTAACAGTGTATAATTTAATCACGCGCTATATTTGTAAGAAGTTCGCACAATAAAAGAACTGGTCGATTCACAGGCAAGTGTCGACGTAGTCCAAGGCGGCAGTTACAATAACAAAGCAATTCCTGGCAAGTGATGCAGGACAACTGCACACGCTGTTGGCCAAGCATTAGTTAAGATTCCCAACGAAGTCTTTATATCTTTTCCGGGATTACTGGTTGTTTTTTCCATGCGTCATTTTTGAGTCCAACGCGATTCCTGACACAGGCACAGAACAACTGATTATGTTGTAGTCCATGTGTCAGTTATATGTCAAAGCAATTCCTAGTTAGTGCCATAATATCTGCGTGGTTGTTCCAGCATCAGCAGCATTTCAAACAAATGAATCACGAATGCGTTGGCGGAAGATCTATTTTCATAAAATACATACATATAAATATTTCGTCTTGTGAATTAAATTTATGTGGGCATAATGCATTTAATCTATAAAAACATTGATATTTGTATAAAATACTAAACATTAACAACATTTTAATTGAAATAAAAAAAAATGAATTTAAAAATAAAGTTACAGTAATATGTTGTATGACTTAAAGATTGATTCTTGAAGTAAGAGTACTTATTCAGAACAAATTGTAGATCATGCATACCAGATTTTGTTGAATTAGTCGTTTCTAACATGTTTTCGGAATAAAATGTCCAACATGAAGCCCTATTTGATACAGAAAGGCCCGACGGAAACGAGGACGACATCAGCATATAAGGGAAGAAGCCTGAAAAACAGGCGACACAAATAAGACAGAGAAGTGGAACATTCCAAGTATATGACCATATGCCAAAAGAAAGATGTCTGCATGGCATCAACCATCAGGATAGAAAAAAATGCCTGTGACCTTAGTTTTGAATACATCCATCAATATAAGCCGGAACACTGGCATTATAAGATCTTTAATTATACTGACATTCAATTTTTCCTTGGTTATTTTGCAAGGTGTGTCACACAGAACCATGCAGTTTCTATGCGTGGATACATGAAAGATTAACCCCAAAAAGGATGTCCACACGTTAACCGGAACCGGAACCGGAACCGGAACCGCGACCATTGCATTCAATAGACGTACAAATGGAATGTCTTACCTTTATGATAAATGAAAGAATTGTAAACATAAAAATATACTGTACAATCATTTATTTTCGTGTGGTTAAAATTTCGTGGTTTTCATATACTAGCCTGTTTCAAGGACATTATATTTCGCTGATTTCTGATTTTCCCCTTTACAAATTTATGTTTTCGTGGGGATTTAATTTCGTGGATTTTGTTATCCATGAAATAAACGACATTTAATGTCCCATGAACATTTATGATTTAACAGTATTTAAATATCAGCTTAACAAAGGCTACTAACGACCATTGTGAGTTACTTACGAATCTGTCTTAGAGAAGTTTGACATTTTATTTTAAATTCGATTTCACAGGTGGCAGTGATTGAAAATTAAAAACAAATGTTGAAAACATAACAATAACGTTTTATTTCTTTCCAGCTGCGAAACATTGCGAAAATTCAGCAGTAACTAATATTTAAGATCATAGGAAAACGGATGCCTAAGGAGACTTGGTCGAAACGATAGAAAGAGAGGCATGAGGCTGGAGAAATTATAGAGATCTGTTGTGGCAAATCAATTTTGGTTTCTCAAGTGATCACTTAACACGCAAGAAACCGTTCGATTCCACAGTGGCCCCAACATTAGTCGCCGTTTGTTATATGAGTGGGATTACTGCAGGTTTATTCTTAGTTTCTCAAGTTTCTCTGAAAATAAGACGCATAGGAAACCAATCCTGACCTGATATTTCGTGGGGCAGCAGGGGGGGGGGGGGCATATTTGTCACCGCTTACGATTATAGTTATGTAGGGGTTACAACAGGCGAATTCTTTCTCCCCGAACCTGTAGGTGAAATTCCCAAAGGAATGTAGCACCCAGAGGTGCTTGCGATCTAGCATGAGTGCCAGTCCCTACTTATTGAGGATAATTTGCTGTTGGATCAAATAAGACTATTTAGGCAGAAACTCAAAACCTGTTCACAAGATCATAGCCAGCAAAATGCAATTTATTAATTAGGAATACATGTATTTTGTTCTTCAGCCATCTACTGCAGGGGAGAACAACAAAATGTTTTCTCCTATATATGAACTTTGGTATTAGCATGATGTAGTAGTTCGATATACGGTGATATTAACAGTGTACGGTAAAAATGCAATCTGACCTCGAAATATTGACAACGGTGTATTAGTAAAAGTCAAACAGGTCCGGTTCCTCGAACGGAACAGAAGGAACATATGTTTGTCCCATCAAAGCTCGTTTGGTGTCAAGTTGATTAAATCCTGATATTGATAGCAGAAAGGTTCATTTGCACATTTTGATATCGCTTTCATCAAGTTATTTGGAGAAAACATTTAAAAGGATTAAAATTTAAATTGACGGGGGCCGTTATGGGATCTCATGATGGCATAACACACTTGCATACTAGTACCAAATTTGAGTGAAATCGGTCAATATTTAGTAGTCAACCAATCAGAGGCCGCGGTGGATTATTACACCTCTGGTGAAAATCCTGTTATCTGATTGGTCGATAGAAATTGGTCATTTCACACTGTTACATTCGCTTTAACATTGAGTCAATGGAGGGGTACTTCCAAACGTCCTAGCATAGCCTGACAGTGTGTAAGACAGTGCATAACAGTGACCGCTTAAATAAAATGCGAGTACGATTCGTTTCAGTCGCCATGTTATTTTCGGTATAATAAAATCAACACTACATTCATAAGAGCGTGACAGTGCCAAGGGTCACCCGAGGGTATCACTGTCCGTAACCCGAGTCGAAGCGGTAGTTACATATGTGCAATTACAATAAGAAAGGTGTTTTGCATGAAGTAAGCGGTATGAGGGACACGTTTAGGAGTGACTGGGAGAGTGGAACTTCATTCGCTGTACAATGCAAAACACAATTAGAATAAATATGCAGAGATGAATTTTACATCCTGATCCAAGTACTGAAAACCAGGAATTTGGTGAAAAAAGTTAAACATGCTCAAAATCAATTCCTCCACTTGGAATTCTTGCAGTATTGGAGACTACTTTTGTTCCTTCTACTGGGGATTTAAAAGCGACCAAAAAGAATCTCCTGCACCCATTGCAATATTTGGAATCTTGATAATTTCTCTCTTTTTCCAAACAACCTTTTCGTTTTCTAGCGCTTTACTTATCAATACCTCACTTTTGGCCTTAGTTTTAAACATTAGCCAAAGTGGGGAAAGCAATTGATTGCCTCCAAGTCGGGGGAAAATTGTAGTTGTTATTCCCCGGTAAACAAAAACATCTATTAAGGTTATGGCAACAGCTGGTAAGTTCGTTGTCAGTACAACCCGACCTGGTGGAACATCCTACTTGGTGCCCTATTTCTGGCGAGTCATTTGGTGGGGGGTTAGGTTTTCTGCATTGACTTCTATTAAGGGGACATGGAAGAGACCAAAATTGATCTGCTGCCGATATAACAATGCATTTGTACTTGGGTTCTTTTTCGATTCCTACTTTTCCTGTCGGTAGGATGCACATATACCAACATACCGGGGGGGCCGCAGTGGGCGTGTGGTTAGGGTGTCTTACCTTCTACGATAACTAACCCTCCACCACTGACCGCATGTTGATTGTTTTTCTCCGGGTACTCCGGCTTTCCTTCAGGAACAAAATCTGGCACGTCCTTAAGTGACCCTCGCTGTTTATATGACGTAAAACACAAACACCCCAAACCAAACCAACATATCACCTTCTGGACACGCGCACACATGACACACAAGGATGCACGTCTTTTAATGACCTCCGCTGTTAATAGGACGCCCAACCTCATCAAAACAACAAAGGTCTTTTTATATGTTTAACGCAATCTGGTGGGATTTCCCTGTCGATGTACTTTAAGCGACAGGTCTCTTGTATAACTGGTTTGACCCTAAGCATACGGGTATGTAGGGTCAGTAGGAGAGGCATACGAGGGTATTCCTAGTGTTTCGCGGGAAATAGTTAATTAGCTGGATGTCAAGTTTTGACCTGGGAACTGTAAGCCAGGAAAGACGCTATGGAGACTTCTTTGGGGAAAAGTCATTGGGCCTAGGATGAAGACCAAGGCTAGTACTCCTACATTGATTAGTCAGCGTGGGTAGTGTGTCGTACGTGTATGGGTACGTGTAGCGTGACGAGAGGTACTGTTAGGGGACCGTCTCGAGATATATTTCGTCAGGCGTTAATGTGTGCTGTATAATATCGCCAGTGTCGTGTGTAATAAACCTTTCATTTACTTTATTTGTTTGCTATGTTGTGCATCATGTTGTATCGTAACTAGAGGTGATCACAAGTCGGAACCTGGAGGGTGGATCTGGGAAAACAAATAGCCACTATACGATAACTTTTACATATGTATAACTAGTGCTACTTTGCAACTTTACTAGGAGTAATTACAAAACGTTTTAACTCCATAAAAAACAATTTTGTTTGATCTGCTTCTATATGAATATAGTGGAAATCAAATATAATTTCAAGAAAAAATTCATTAGAGGTCTGTTTACAATAGAAAAGTGACGAGAATCTACAACATATGAACCTCTACCTTAGATTGTTTACACCCTTTTGCTCATCTACTAGTCACAGTGTATCACCTTGTCATATTTCAAAACGATTAGTCCTCTGGATTCCGGGACTCGGATGTAATCTCCGGAAACCAGAGTGTGGACGGACACACTGACACGGCGATGTGGGGCTCATAATAAAATCGGGAAAAATGTGTAGGCAATGTCGATTTAATTTTTTATCAATCTACTTTTTACAACCTAGTGAACACGATAACAGCATCTGCAAACATTTTCGTAATTAATGTCAGTGTTTGATCAACCTAACACTCAATAGTTTGGATTGGTCAAACATTTGACTTACCATCACGGAATCCGTCCTGTTCCATTTGAGGAACCGGACCGGTTTGACTTTTACTTATTACACCGTTGCCCATATTTCCTGGTCAGATTTCAATAGTATAATACACCGTTAATATCACATTATATCTAACTTCTACCTCATGCTAATATCAAAGTTCGAACAAAGTAGTGAACACATCATGTTATTCTCCCCTACAGCAGATGGCTGTGGTACAAAACATTTCAAACTAATTATTAGACTTTTCCTATCGCACATTGGCTGGAGTTAGCGCACTGATACTCTAACGGAAACAAACGGCCTTATACAGAGGTTTATGCTCCTTTTTACTTTTAACTTGATTATTTGTTTGTGGTTTAACGTCCTCGTAATAGCCAGGATTATATGAAGACGGATACCGAGGGAGAAATAACCGAAAGATAGAACAGTAAAGTGAGAAAAGAAAAGATATTGATCCAAATTTTTGTAGGGGGGACAGCAGATCAATTATGGTGTCTTAGCAGAAAAAAGAGAAGAAACTCCGGATTCTGCAAGGGTCCTACATTAGTTGGCGTTAAACTGTTGCTGACGACACTCATATGCCAGACATCAAGCAATGTAGCGTGCCAATAACATGAAAAATATTTTATGTTTTGGCTAATAAGCGTATCTAATTAATGAGAATTGTTCTCATAGCAGTTATATTGATTTTAAGTAATTAACACATAGTAACTAAAGAATTTAAAAAAAAAATATGTTTTCACATATTGGTACGCTACAAAAGTAACAATGAAAGCAATACCACAGGGTTGTGTTCTCTGCTGTAATTCAACCGCACATAATCGTAAGAGGCGACATTCTTTTGGGGGAAGGGGGAGGCAGCAAAACTGGATGGTTTCGTCTGCGTCTTTTGTCAAGAGAACTCTGAATAAACCAAAATTGAAATGCCGCACCCATTGTAACACCTAAGATCTCTATATTTTGTTATCCCTCCTACCAGTTCTTTCATTCTTTTTCGGTGGTGTCCCCTTTAGAATCTGCTTTCACATGGCCTTATATATTACGAGAACGTTAACCTAGCAAGCACACAAGCCGTAAGGTAATATGCTTGCTACTCATGATTCTAGGTTCAAAAATTGTCGTTCTCAATCCAACAAATCCCTTTAAACGTTGCTTATTCCGGATTTTCATCATCGTTTTTTTCTGTTGGAAAGACATTATGCGGTACGGTTGTTATCCTTTTTTAAATATAAAACCCGGTCCGTTTCATTAACTACCGCCTGTGAAATAAGAATTAAAATAATAATGGTGACCTTATTTTAATTGATTTTGCAAGTAAAGAAGCTATGGTAAGGCGTATATTACTGTGGAATAGCTACGTGTAGTAATATGATTTCACGAATCCGATCCCCTGTATGCGCCATCTAGATATCATTTCAAACAACTGTTACATATTACCGCATACCGTTGACATAAAGAGTAAAAAGGAAGGCTATGAATTTTGAAGATGATGCAGAGTTGTATAATGCCAAAGTTGGGGATTAGTTTATTGAAGAGTTTCGTATTTGCTATTTTTAAGGCAATGTTGGTTTAAGTTGAACAATATCAAGGGTTTGTTAAGATGTGATATTGCGATGCTATGGTAATGTTTGATTAAGATCATTTTTCGGATTCAGTTAATATCGGTACAATATTTTATAATGTCAGTGTTATTTTGATAAGTTCCTGCATATTTACAATGTATATATTATTATTATTGTATATTACGGTTAATAGCACGTTTCTGTCCGTTTTGGTAGATGCTTTTCAGATATATTTTTTAATAATTGGATAAACACATATATTTAAACTGTAACACTAGTCGGATCGGTTTGGTATTAATACTTACGCTTGAACTACTTTAGTGGCAGTTACATTTCGACACATTTCGGGAATCGCTTTGATATTCTTACTGATGCTGGGATAATCAAGCAAAAGGCTTGCGAAACTTGCTTAGAATGGCTACGTTATTCCTCTTCTTATTATAATTATTAATGATAAAGGATTCTGTCCGTCCGTATGAACGTACGTACGTATGTTAAATCTTTGCCATCGCTCTAGCGACTTCATCCCTCGGAAATTCATGAAACTTCATACACGTGTGAAGTATGACAATACCTTGAACAAGTTCCCGTTCGGGTTTCTACGTTGAAGTTCAAGGTCACTGTTACTATTTTTAGAAAAAAAACTTTGTCATCACTCTAGCGACTTCATTACTGAACGGAATTGCATGCAACTTGAGACAAATGTTTGGTATGACAATACCTTGAACGAGGTCGCGTTTCAGGATTCTACGTTAAAGGTCAAGGTCACTGTTACTATTTTTTAGAAAACTTTGTCATCACTCTAGCGACTTCATTACTGAACGGAATTTCATGCAACTTGAGACAAATTTTGGTATGACAATACCTTGAGCAAGTTTGCGTTTCCGTTTTCTATGTTCAAGGTCAAGGTCACTATTATTTGTTTTTTAGAAAAACTGTGTCATAGATCTTCCGACTTCAATCCTCAACAAAATTTCATGAAACTTGATACAAGTGTATCTTGAACAAGTTCACGTTTCATGTTACTGTGTTAAAGGTCAACGCCACTTTTACTATTTTTACCAAAAGCATTGTCATCGCTCTCGCGACTTCATTTCCTTTTAAAAATGTTACAATGTGTGAATGGGAGGAGATTTGTATCACTTGTGTTGCCTGGTTACAACTAACACTTTGAGTACACAACCAGTGTCCTGAGTTACTTGTTAGTTCTCGCGGCGGCATTATTACTAACGCTATAAGCAAATTCAATTTACCTAGTTGACAAATCCAATTTAAATGACATTTAAATTTAATCTAGGTTATTGACAAATACTTTTTACATTATTGACAAATTTGATCTACCCGATTCACAAATTCTATTTTCCTGATCAACAAATTCAATTTAGGGAACCAGTTGACAAATTAAATTAACATGACCTTCACATTTAGTTCAGAGTTCTGTAAATTGATTCTACTCAATCCAATGAAACAATGCAGATCAACCTATTGTAACGGGTCAACATTCGGAATCAACACCAGAAATAGAAATGAAGGATCCCCATACCACTGCCAAAAAGTCTTACTATCCTTTGGAAATTGTTTTTCCAGCATGACTATAGCTTTGATAAATTATTTCTGAAAAGGAAGACATACCTTGCAAGACTTTGATAAAAATGTTATGCAGTTGAAATAAACAAAATATAATCAACAACAGTGTTTTGAGAGTAAAAATTCAGTGGGTCATTCGAACCCTGGACCTTGTATTGTTACACTACTGCTGTAACCAACTTCGCTACCTGGTGAATGGAAGTTTGTGGGGTACAACTGTGCTACAGTTAAATCCTATACAACAAAAAACACTGTGCAGTGGGACATGGATCTTTAAGTGAATTGTAAATGATTGTATTCAATCTTTGTTTTCCAGAGAGCACAAGAATGAGATATTTTTTATTAGGACTAAATTTCCTGATCAAGCACAAAGAAACCTTGCTTTCAAAACATAAAGAAATTGATTCTGGAGGTGATAAATAAACATATGTTTTTGAATCAAATTTGGGACAGTATCTCCCTTTTCTTCTATATAACCATGGTTAAGGTAAAAAGTACCACTGCATTACTTTCAATAGTAAAGAAGACTTCCACTCCTAAGTTTTAATTTCTACATGGAGTAGTCTCCCTTTTATATAGAAGAAGAAGCAACCTGAAGTAGTTTTTCTGGCTTAGAGTGACTTCCCCTGTCAAGTTTTTTCAAATTCTTTACGGACCATAAATTGGACACTCATTTGATGCTGTGCTTGTATAATTCCGGTATGGCAATATTGGTAAAGTATAAACTTTGCAATATAAAGGTTCTGAGTTGGACCGCTGAAGTTTTTTTGTTTTCTTTTTTTATTTCTAGTTCTTCAATTTCCCAACAACCAAAATTCTAACAAATGCATAGCAACATATGTTTTTATGAAATATTTCTTTTTAAAGAGTCTTTAATGAATTTATATTTTGAAATACAGACCAATTGGTAATAATAACAGTTTAGCTTGTTGGTACAATGTACCTTGAAACATATCATTTCTGTCCAGAAACCATAGAGTTAGTTTTTCAGCGTAAGGCTAATGTTAATAGAAAGATAATAGACAATAACATTTTATGAAATTTTGTTTAATTCTCAATAAAATTAAACAGTACAATAAAAAATCAGCACAAGACAACTCTTTTTCAACTCTGACATTTACTTGCATACACTCCACTTTCGTAAAAATTGAGACACTCGACCAAAACATGCCTTTTAAAGCCTAAGGCACTATCATTGTAGCTACACAAGGGCAATAACTCTGTCACATATAAACATACACATGAACAGGTACACTTGTTTATTACAAACTCACATCTTTCTTTTATTCTGTTTTTCTAATACCTGTATCTACAAAATAGCTACAGTTGGTTTCAAATCCATGCATGTGTTTATACATTATTCCTTTGATGAAATTCCTCACATCCTTCAGGTTGAACCCCCACACAAAATATCAGCATGCCAGCAGAGCTGTTGAATTAACAGTGAGCCTTCTCAAAAACCCTAAAAAATGAAACCTACAGATTATGTTAGAATTTCCTGTTTTTTAACAAAATGACCTACAGTAAAACTTGTCTTTTCTGACACCATATGGATGAGTCCCAACTTATTGGTCAGATTAATCTCTCTAATCCAATGCCCTGTGGTACACAAGTTAATGATCAGGTTAACCCATGGAACCTACTGACCAGTTTATCCTGCCTAAACTTACAACCTAGGAACATAACCTTAGATTTGTCAGACTAACCTGTCTAATCCGACACCCTATGGAACCTACTGACCAGCTTATCCTGCCTAAACTTACAACCTTAGGAACATTACCTTAGATTTGTCAGATTGACCTTAATCTGACACCCTATGGAGCACAACTTATGAGCCAGATTTACCTGTCTAAACTGATACCCTATGGAACATTACCTTAGATTTGTCAGATTGACCTGTCTTATCTGATACCCTTTTGAGTACAACTTATAAGCCAGATTAACCTGTTCTAAACTGATACCCTATGTAACATTACCTGTTTGTCAGATTAACCTGACTAAACTGACACCTGGTGAACACAACATATTGGTCAGATAAGACAGGAGGTCAGTACAAACAGGCCATTGCTGATATTTTTTTCACAAGGAAAACCTTTTAAAAAGAAAATGAGAAAAATTTTTATAATTGATTCTTTTTGTCTACATAGAAACTCTCAAGGTACTATTACTGTGGTATTACAAATACATACCCTAAATGTTTTATTATGAACCTGGTTTGAAAATCGACTGATATTGAAAGTAGGCCTTTGACTCCATGTTTTGATAATAAGCCGTCTCCAAAAATAGGAGTAGGAGCCATATTTTTACTGTCAAAATAAACGGATTTTACAGTGTTACATCACATCATATGATTTTATAATGCAATGATTAAATAAAAAACAAAATAGTAATGACAATTCAAATTTCATTTTAAGAAACATTATGACATCATAATTTTGCAAGCAAAAAAAGAATACATTATAGTACCTTTATTGGCTTACTGACTAAATGATTTTGAAAATAAGACCGCCATGAAAATAGGCCATTTTTTCAAATAATAAGGATGGAATTCCTAACTAAAAAGGTACAGGTAGGCTGACTGTTGATGAGATGATAGGACATTTCCTGTATCACATTCGATTTCATATAGAGCTTTTTTGAAACAAATATGAACAAATGTGATTTCAAATAATATTGAGATCCAGGTTCCAGATTTTATTGTCATAATTATTTCTTTAATTATGAAGATTAAGGTCCATGCTCACTTTTTGTTTTCTAAGTTTCTTCAGGTTGGCAAGTAAAACATGTACATCAATTCATATAGCACAACCAGTGCAATGTTTATGTGTGATTTTTCTAGTACTTTATACAGGGATGTACAATTTCATTTTTAGAATACTAGAGGACAGGTTGATTTGAAAAGTTCTACTAGCCTAAACTATATTTTTATAACAAATATTGAAAACATTTTTTAGCTCAAGCATAACATCTACTAGCCCGAGCCGTCACGCTAGTGGAATCATATACCCTGATATGGACACTCCGACAGATGTTCTAATTGTAGCTGATAAAAGTGACAGTGTACATACCATAGTAGTTATCAAAACATCAAATATATACATTTCACTGGTTGTGCTATATTGACCTGTGTACATTTGCTTGTGCATCTTAACCCTTTCACCCCTACATAACTTCAGTTGACTCTACCCTGCATTGATATAGGGGCGTCCATTATGGTCTACAATGGTAAAAGGGTTCAAAACTGCCGCTATCATGAAAATAACACTGATGCAGGAAAAACCCACTGAAGACAGAAACAAATTGACTAGGGGGTCCCTCACTTTAAAGAGTGTGAAGTTGTCAAAAGCGTGACATTTTGGATCTTCTTTGATTGTGGGGAGGTTGTCCACCCCTGGGAGGCTGATGTCGTGGACCTTTGTGTTGGAAAGATGACTGACTCCTGAGATGTGAAGGTAATGGCTCGCTTGGGAGGGGAGGGGCTGGCTCCTTTGGTGGGGGAGGTGGGGGCTCATTTGGAAGTGGAGGTGGGGGTTCCATTGGGAGGGGAGGTGGGGGTTCCATTGGAAGGAGAGGGGGTGGCACAGGTTTAGGTATGGATGGGTGGGATGAACTAGCTTGTGCCTTTTTCTTCAGAGACTCTTTCCAGGCTTTCATTTCTTGCTTGTTTATTTCACCCCTATCCCCCTTTATGCTGTAGGCGTTGAATTGCTGTGCACCCAGCGGTACAGTCTTTGGGCCTGGCACCGTCTTTGGGCCTGGCACCTGAGGAGTCTGTATCGGTCCGCCTGCGGTGTGTATAGGAAGTATTGGACTCTTTGTCTGCTGTACAGGGCTCTTGTCTTTGGCCTGCAGGTCTTTGGCTATACTCTGCTTTAGGTGCTGGGTGAGTTGGGTGACCATAAAATTCTGTTCCCTAATGGCCTTACTCTGGGGATCGTTGCTGGTTGACTTCGCCATCTACAATAATATAAAACCCAAATTTCACACCAAAACATTAAATTCTGTCCAATTCCTTTTCAAGAAAATCATTATACTCTGCATGGATGTATGATAGCTTACACATTATAACAATGATTTGTGTTATAGAGTTATTTCCCTTCCAATTTAAAGCTACTTTACAAATCGTACCTGTGATTTGTGTTAAATGATCTTTCCTAAGGATTAATGCTACCTTACAAATTACCTGAGATTTGAGTTAGAGTTATCTCCCTTCAGGCTACCTTACAACAGGCGTGTTGGATCATCAGCCATTCACCATAGTCAGGCTCTTATTCCATTGTGCTTACACATGCTGGTAAACAACAACTAATCACTGCCTTGCTTTCAAATAATCATGCATGCACAGATGACCACTAGTAGCTCTGGTCCAACCAAAAGCAGGTTGTACCACAGCCGACCATAGCCAGGTTGTACCACAGCCGACCATAGCCAGGTTGTACCACAGCCGACCATAGCCAGGTTGTACCACAGCCGACCATAGCCAGACATCGCACAGTAGCTTCTTGTAAGTTTGCTCTAGTTAGACCATAGTCACTATAATTGCTGATCAAACTCACCCATAGTGTACCTCTGATTTATCTACAAGTGATTTCCTTTCAGGTTTAGAGTTATCTCCCTTTAGGTTTAACGATGTCTCTTTTACATTGTACCAGTGATTGGTGTAAGAGTTATCTCCCTTCGGGTTAAACGTTACCTAAATAATAATACCTCTGATTTGAGTTAACATTTTCTCTCTCCAGGCTCAATGGTAACTTACATATTACACCTTTGATTTGTTTTAGAGTTATCTCCCTTCAGGCTCAATACTACCTTAGAAATTTTACCTTTGATTTGTTTTACAGTTATCTCCCTTCAGGCTCAATATCAATACTACCTTACAAATTACACCTTTGATTTGAGTTAGAAATATCTCCCTGTTGTTTTAGAGTTATCTCCCTTAAGGTTTTAACGCTACCATACAAATTACACCAGTGATTCATGGCAAACTAAATGGCTTGTTTTTCTCCCCTTATTATATAATATTCTTTCCCCTTCCACTTGCAAATAAAACTACCCATATAAAGTAAATGAGGTCTCTGGAGAAGAAATTAAAGTTGCAAGGGCCCTAACTCCAAAAAAAAAAAAGTGAAATCACCAATTAATTTCTTCTTGCACATCTACATATGATGTACTTTCACGATGACAAGTTACCAAAAAAAAAACAGTAAAAAAACAGTTAAGGAGGAATTGCATTACCGGAACAGAAATTAAAAGTTTCAAGGGACATGAGTCCCAGAAAAATAGTTGAATTGCCAATTCCTTTCTTCATGTACATCTCTACAAGATGTATTTTCCCTGTGTCAAGTTACAAACAATTGAACATATGATTTAGAAGGAGTTTTGCTTACAAGGATCATGGACAGACAGACAGACAATTTAAGCTGATCCCTTTTATAAACCCCCAAACTATGTTTGTACGAGAAAAATAACCATTTATCTACAATTTTCCAGAACACATTTGGGTATTTAGAAGAACTGCCTATTAATAAATTATAAAATGGGCGTATTAATAAAAGCAACTACAAAGTTAAGACATGGAAAATCACAATACCAAAAATTTTTAAAGTTGCAACTCGAAAGTTTCATTCATCTACTTACGGGTGATGCAGATATATTGCAAGCTTCATCAAGATATTTTTCATGATTTAAAAAGTTACGGCTGGAGCAAGAATTTTTTCAAGAAGAAGTGTACAGTCGAAAATGAACCAGTACTTAAACAATACATTTCCCTTCATTCGAGGGGGAGTTGTAATTACCTCCAGCCAATTAAATAGGCGATGGTTTCGGGACCTACCTGCTCTGGAACATTCTGTAGACGAAACTTTAGCAGTGCCTGCGTAAGGGCATTGGATACTTGCAAAGCCATAGCAGCCTCGTCCTCACTCTTAATCATAGTCTGCGACTACAAAAGAAAGTCAAATACCAGTCGTCAGCACACCACGTCTACAGACTTCAAAAGAAAGTCAGATATCAATCGTCAGCACACCACGTCTACAGACTTCGTCACGATCTTATAAAGCTGCATTAAATACTAGATGCTATTAAAGTCTTCATTGGAGGCCATTACCAGGCTTGACATCTCATGATTTCTTTTTCTACAGCATAATCATCTAGATTAGTAAAATACAGAGTAAACTAGAGATTTGCTTTTGTGAACAAAAACGTATGTCGCCCCTTTAACAGTCTAAAAGTCACGGCCCAGAAAATACATTCCTGAAAACTTTGCACTTGTTTGATCTTTGACCTCGAGGTCACAATGACCTAACATCAACGCAGTACACATTGTCTATGGGTGATGCAGGTATACTTCAGGTTTCATCAAGATATCTTTAATGGTTTAAAAGTTACAGCCAGGACAATATCATATTAGAAGAACCAGAACCAGAAGAACCAGTACTAATACAATATGTCTCCGTTCATTCATAGGGGAGACATAATGACACAAGATCAACTCATACCATAAGCACCAAATTGAAACTATTTTGATATCAAACTAAATTGGAAACCAAGACCAGGTCCTCTTGATACCAAAGTATAGTGAAGCTTACCTGGGCAGACACTGAAATCAAATCTAGAGAAGGTTTAATAAGAGACTTTGCCGATGTTTAGCACAATAGAAGGAGTGAGTATGAAGGACTTCCCATCCTTTGTGTAACACATTTTTCTTGTCGTTTTTTCGTGTCGTCATTTCCATATTTTATATCGGACATTTCAATGCTGTAGTGTAAGTTATAGTAACACCGGGTAAACAAAAGAACATGCGTGACAATATGTCAACACCAGATATCATCGTATAGTAGGTCATATATGAAGCGCATGGAATGCAGATTGATGTGTTTTGAGTAAAATATGTGAAGGGTTAATTAGGAATATCCCTTTTTTCATTTTTAGTTATTGTTGTTATTGTTCTGAACAATGTCACAAACCGAAAAGATGAAAAATATTAAATTTGACAAAAACTAATCTTTTTTAGTATTTTCTCTAAAAAATATCCCTAGGCGATCAGAATGCATACCAGGTAGATTTCCAAATATATAGTTGCACGACCATTATGCGAAAGTTTCAACAAATTACGCTGGCTAATTGCAAAAGGGTCGAGCCTCCTTAAGCATTCCACATTTAAAGTACGAAAGGTTATTTAGCTCATAATTATCCATCTATAAATATCTAATGTCAATCATAGGTCCAGGTCAGAGGTCACAAAATGGAGATCCTACTCACTAGAGCTCCAAGCATCTCATTGACTTTTTCATCTGGGATAGACTGGTCCTGTAAAGAAATCAAAAATACATATCAGAGTTAAGCCACTGTTGTACCCCTTATCTTTACCAGGGAAAGAACAATTTTTCAAAAGCACTGATTTTTGGGGCATGCAATTCTGAACAACAGATCCTGCTCGCCATGATATTTAAGCAATCTTTACAAGATCTTCCAACTAAATGACATTTTGTTGGAAGATGCAAATATTTCCAAATGTTGGCTCTGTCTCTAAGTTATCCATGGGGCACCCTTCCTTCATACAAAATTTGCTTCACAAGCCCCAAAGATGCCTTAAACTATGTTTGGTTGAAATATCATCAACTGCTCAGGAGAAATAGGCTTTCAACAAATTTAACTTTTAAATTACACCCATTTTGTGCCCAACCCTAATGGAAGCTACATTTTTCCTTAACATAATAATTGACTCCTATGTCAAAGGGACCAAAGGCTATATATGTGTATATGGTTATTCAGGTATTTAAACTGTTTCCGTGTTATTACCTTGGGACTAATTCTAAAATGATGAAGCTAAACCCCTAGGTTTATGGTAGCATGAATGTGTCCATCTCTTCACGACTAGCAAGCCTGTATTTAGTTAAAAAGTGGGGATCTCAATCATTTTTATGTTATGGCACTTGAACTAAGTCACCAGGGGCAGAGCCAGACCCCTGAGCTAATATGTGTAGCATGACTGTGATTTATGTGGTTATGTGGTGGGAAACGCAACCCTTTCCATTTATGATCCAGGGACTAAGTCTCTTGGGGCTGGGATAGACTTCAGAGAGTCACTGTAGCATGAGGGCATTTATCTCTTCAAAGAGAGGGAACTTCAACATGATTTCAAGTTAAGACCAAAGACGTTAGTCCTTAGAGTTGTTGGTAAGACCCCTTGGGAAATTATGGTAGCATGAAACATTATTTTCTTCTGCCCAGCAATTGAATGTATCTGAATAAGGATGGGATCTGAATTCTTTTCGTGTTATAACCCAGGGACTAAGTCCCCTTGGATGGTGACAAACTAATAAAGTCCTTGAAGCATGAATATATTCTTTTCACAATGTCTAATTGGCTTTTTTGATTATATGGTGGAAATATCCAGTATTTTCGAGAAACTTGCAGAGAAACCAAAAAAGCTAACATACCTCCATTATTTTCTTTCTTAGCTCCCCTGATTTCTTCAGTGAAGGACCAGGCTGTTGGGTTGGAGCTTGAACACCCTGTGGAGGTCGAGCTGGAATGAATTGCTGAGGAGCTCGAACAGGAAAAGATGCACCAGGGACCAAATGCTGAAGTGCAGGTGGAACACTCCGATATGGCAAAGCTTGGGTAAGTTGATGGGGTGCAGGCGGAATGGTAGAGTGGCTCATCGCTGTAATATAACAGACAATAAAATCAGACAATGATCTAAAACAAAATATCTAAAGTTTAACTCTCAATGCTACTGTACATGATGTCAATGTATTGATGACGTGACATCATACTATTGTTATGTATCATTAACTTTCAATAAAATCTGAACGTAAGTTAATACTTCGTTGCGGGGGGTAGAATTAGAAAAGTGCAATCACCTCCGCATGTTTTGTGTTCATAGAATCTTCTAGATACAGTTTTCAGTGAGAAAGATCTGTGAAGTGCATCTTAAGAAATAGCAATAACAAACATGAACTTTAAAAACCCAAGATGGCTGCCTGGCAGCCATATTGCTTTTCTGACCAGTCCCAAAAGAAACATGTACAACTAATGACCAAGGGCCCTAAAGATGAGATTTAAATAAAATCTGTCAGGTATTTCTTGAGGACTATTGATAAAAAACTTTAACTATCAAAATCCCAAATGACTACCTGGCAGCCATCATGTTTTTGTGAACAGCTTCAAATTAAAACCACCAAAACTAAGGACCAAGGGGAAACTACGTATGAATTTTGAGAAAGTATGCCAAGAGACATACTGACAACAAGGATTGTTTGGATGAATGGAAGACAGATAGACAGAGGGAAGAACACAGGATATGACTGTCTTACCTGTAACTGGAGGAATCGATGCCCGGAGCTCTGATGAACTGTAAATAGAGCACCACACTGCATTATCTTCAAATTAATTATTATTCAATAACTTTACCATAATAACATTTACAAAATGTTCGAAGACATTATTACATTTTTTTCAATAATTGTACCAATATCATAAGCAATAAGAAGACAAACTCCATTGCAGGAAAAAATGCTTCAGTAGGTGGAATTTCCAATGGGCAGAAAATTTCAATATCTAAAATTATATAAAAATAATAATAAATAAACAAGAGGCCCAATGGGCCTGCATCGCTCACCTGTTATTAATCTAACACTTGTAATCTTAAGATTTCATAAGAACCTATTAAAAGATTTAAACATATGACGCCTCTGACCTTGATTGTCGAACAAGGACATTAGGTTGAAAGTGGATCAAGGTCATTCATTTGAACTAACATGGTAGTCCTTCATCCCAGCATGCTACAGGCC